ATTTGGGCAAGTAACACAAACATTTCTACATCTCAATTGCCTCATCTGTAAAATGAAATGATAACAGTGCCTTTCTCTATGGGTATGAGGAGTTGATATTTCTAAGATTCTATACCAAGTGCTATATAAATATATTAAAAAAAATGAACAAATTCTTAACATTATACAGTGTAAAATAATTATAAATATGCATAAATGTGTGGCCAAAGACCGAATGCTAGCTAATGTCTCCAGGAGGAAATCATTTAAACAAATTACATAAATTACAAGTTGCATACCTATTAATATAAATTGCAAACTACATACCTATTAATACAAAGACTTTATTGTTATTTGTCTTGTTTAGCTTTTTGTTTGTTTGCTAATTGTAGTAGTTGAGTATTTCTCTTTTTCTCTCTTAAGCCTGAGGTTGTATCTTAATTACGGACTTTTATGGTTATTAAGAAATGAAAATGCATTTGAATTATCTCTAGTTAATTTGAATTTTATATTATGACTCGAATTCAGGCTAAACCAGCACTTTCATTTTTAATACTTCCGATGGAAGTGTTGTCCGTTAATTGAGCCAACAGATATTTATTTCACAAAAGACAATAGAAATATATCAGTAGCAGTGTAACCTACTCAACCTATCACTAGTCATTGATTTATGACTGTTACAAACATTATACATTTTGGACAGTTGCCTAAATTTTTCTCTTTGTCTTACTGAGCTCTCCAGTTATACCCATCACCTCAGGGGAAAAGTCTCAAGTAATCTTGAGAAGAGGCTCTTCCCCCTTTTATGAGCAAGTGCAACAAGAAAGGAAGGATGGAGTGGCTTCAGGTTGGCTTTCACATATCCATAAACCCATACACTAAATACTTCAGTTAGCCATGCACACATTAACATACAAATGATACATTCACTACAAAGTATTGTATTATTTATTAAAACATTGACCTCATGGCTAGGAATAAAACTGAAAGTGACCATATTTAGGGGCTTTTTTATCCATGTTTAAGTGGTCTATGTAGTCATTTTGCTCATGATTTTTTTATTATATAAGTTTCAGGTATATGACGTTATAATCAAACATTTGGATAACTCCAAAATGTTCACCACTACAAGTCTAGTTACCTTCATTCACAATAAAGTTGACCTTCTTCATCCATTTCAACCACTCCCCCAAGCTCCTTCCCTTCTTGTAACCATTAATGTTTGCTGTATCTACAAGGTACAATAATTGAACACAGACCATAGGAGCATGCCTACAAAACCACTTCAGTCCTGTCCAACTCTTTGTGACCCTATGGACTGTAGTCCACCAAGCTCCTCTGTCCATGGGCTTCTCCAGTCAAGAACACTGGAGTGCATTGCCATGTCCTTCTCCAGGGGATCTTCATGACCCATGGATTGAACCCACATCTCATGTCTTTTGCATTGGCAGGCAAGTTCTTTACCACTAGAGCCACCTAGGAAGTCCATATATTTTGGATTTAGTTCAGTTCAGTCACCCAATCGTGTCTGACTCTTTGCAACCACATGGACTGCAGCATGCCAGGCTTCCCTGTCATCACCAACTCCCAGAGCTTGCTCAAACTCATGTCCATCAAATCAGTGATACCATCCAACCATCTCAACCTCTGTCATCCCCTTTTCCTCCTACCTTCAATCTTTCCCAGCACCAGAGTCTTTTCCAATGAGTCAGTTCTTCGTATCAGGTGGCCAAAGTATTGTAGCTTCAGCTTCAGCATCAGTCCTTCTAATGAATATTCCGGACTCATTGCCTTTAGGATTGACTGGTTTGATCTCCTTGCTATCCAAGGGACTCTCAAGAGTCTTCTCCAACACCACAGTTCAAAAGCATCAATTCTTCAGTGCTNAAGGGACTCTCAAGAGTCTTCTCCAACACCACAGTTCAAAAGCATCAATTCTTCAGTGCTCAGCTTTCTTTATGGTCCAACTCTCACATCCATACATGACAGTGGGAAATCCATAGCTTTAACTATATGGATCTTTTTGGATAGTAACGCCTTATCAGATATACTGTTTGAGAATATATTCCCCCATATAGCAGGATACTTTTTTGTTTTGAGAATGGTTTCTTTAGCTGTACAGAAGCTTGTAAGCTTGATGTTCCATTTGTTTACTTTTGCTTTTGTTTCCTTTGCCTTTTGGTGTCAGATCAACAAAAACATTGCTAAGACTGATGTCAATGAGATTATTACCTATGTCTTCTTCTAGGAATTTAATGATTTTAGACCTTATATTCAAATTTTTAATTCATTTAGGATTAATTTTGTATGTTGTGTAAGCTGGTTTCATTTGTTTGCATGTGAAAGTCCAATTTTCCTACCACCATTTATTGAAGAGACTGTCATTTCTCCATTGTTTTGCTCATTTGTTGTGAATTAATTGTCCATATGTGTGAGCTTATACCTGAGCTCTCAGTTCTGTTCCATTGATCTGTGCGGCTGTTTTTATACCAGTACCATACAATTTCAATCACTATAAAATTGTAGTACAGTTTGAAATCAGGGAGCATGATGCCTCCAGTTTTTTTCTTTCTCAAGGTTATTTTGGCTATTCAGAATCTTCTGTTATTTAACACAAATTTTAGTATTAGTTGTAGTAGTTATGTATTGCACTGTTTTAGTTCTATGAGATATGCCATTGGAATTTCAACAGGCATTGCATTAAAACTGTAGACTGCTTTGGGCAGTATGCACATTTTAACAATATTAATTCCTCCATTCCTTGAGCATAGAATATGTTTTCACTTGTTTGTGTCTTCTTCCACTTCTTTCATCAGTGTCTTATAATTTTCAGTGTATGGATCTTTTAAGTCCTTGGTTAATTTTATTCCTAGTTTTTTTATGCAATAATAAATGAGATTGTTTTCTCAATTTCTCTTTTTGATAGTCATTAATAGTATATATTAATATGTATATTAATATCTATATATTATATAGATATAGAAACACTGCAGATTCCTGTATATTAATTTTGTACCCTGTGACTTTTGTGAATTCACTTATTTCCAAGAATTTTGGGGTGCAGTCTTCAATGTTTTCTATATACAGTATAATTTCTTCTGGAAATATTAACAGCTCTAATTCTTCCTTTTGAATTTAGTCACGTTTAATTTATTTTTCTTGCCTAACTGATGTGGCTAGGACTTCTAATATTATGTTAAATAAAAGTGATGAGAATGGAATCCTCATCTTGTTCCTAATCTTAGAATAAAAGCTTTCAACATTGAATATGATTTTACTTGTGGGTTTGTCATATATGGCCTTCATTGTGTTGCATTGTCTTCCCTTTTTAACTATTTTGTTGAGATTTTAATCACAAATGTATGTGGATTTTTTTTTTCAAATAAGTCATATATCTATTGAGATGATCATATGATTTATATCCTTCATTTTGTTAATGTGATGCATTGCATTGATTGAGTTATATGTGTTGAGGCATCCCTAAATCTCTAGTATAAGTCCTACACAATTGTGGTATATAATCCTTTTTGTATATTATTGAATTAGATTCACCAATATTTTGTTGAGTTTTACATCTATGTTTATCAAGATATTTTCCTGTAGTCTTCTTTTTCTGTTGTATCCCTGTCTGGTTGTCATATCAGGGTAATGTTCAGTTCATTAAATACATTTGTAAGGATTTCTTCCTCTTCAAATTGTTGGAAAAGTTTGGCAAGGATAGGTGTTAAATCTTCTTTTCATGCTTTGTAGAATTCATGATTAGAGGTATCTAATCTTAGACCTTTATTTGTTGGGAGATTTTTTTAACTTTTTATTTTATGTTGGAGTATAGTTGGTTAACAATATCATGTTAATTTCAGGTGTGCAGCACAGTAATTCTGTTATACATATACATGCAGCCATTCTTTTTCAAATTCTTTTCCCATTTAGTTTGTTACATATATTGAGCAGAGTTCTCTCTGCTATACAGTAGGTCTTTGTTGGTTATCCATTTTAATATAGCAGTGTGTACATGTCAATTCCAAAGTCCCTAACTAATCCTTCCTTTTCAGAGATTTTTTATTAATTTTTCAATCTCCTTATTAATGATATGTCTATATAGATTTTCTATTTTCTCATGATTCAGTCTTGAAAGATTATATTTTTTCTAGGAATTTACTATTTGTTCTCAGTTGTCCAATATTTTGATATATAATTTTTCATAGTAGTCTCTTATGGTACTTTGTTTTTCTGTGCCATCTATTATAACTTCTCTTTCATATATTTTGAGTACTCTCTCTTTTTTCTTGATATGTCTAGCTTAAAGTTTGTCAATTTGGTTTATACTCATGGTATTTTAGAGTAAGCTTAAGTATTAGACATTTTCACTTCTGATTGTTAGATATTTAGGTTGATTTTTCAGTAATACTCTTCTTTTAAGAATAGATACCAAGACAAAGAAGCCAATAGAAGCATACCAATACCCCCCACCAATCTCCAAAATCTGTTCTTAGCCTAAGATTTATTGACTTTTAAGCTTACCAATCAGTTAATAGATGCTTGCCTAATATGTATATGAGTCACCTATAGCTACTATAATCTTCCTTTCCAGCAAATGGCATACCCTTTCTCAACACACACATATTATCCTCTATTGTATGGCTAGTGTGGCCAATGTGTGCTGAGTAATACTAAATATGTGTGTGTGTGTGTGTGTGTGTGTGTGTGTGTGTGTGTGTGTAGTCATATAATTTAAATTTATTCTTCCCTTTGTCTCAGATTCCAATATGACTCAATGAGACACTGTTAATAAAAATAACATTCGACCAAATACTCCATAAACTGTGGCCTTTCATGTTCTATAAGATCACATTTATTGTCTGAGATAAATGTAATTTACCTGGTCATCACCTGGTAATCTTTCAAGTAGACCAGAAAATGTGGGACAGGCTCTTAGTGCCTTTCCAGAGCCCACAGAGTAGAAGCACACTCTTTTAAGGATGATGAAAAGAGAGAAGTCAAGCTAATGTTTGGATACCTACTGTTTTCTCCAGTGCCATTAAAATTCTTTAATCAGAGCAATAGGGTCTCTTGAGGAAGCCATGGGGAATCCAGCTGCTTTAATTCATTCGTGCCTGAAAGAACATAGAAGAACCATGGTCAAGAACAGTGGGAACAGCATTCCCACAGAAGGCTGGTAAATTTCAGAAAGTGGATGCTTAGAACCCAGAAATAGATTACTGTGGGCAAGTGAGAGCATGAAAAGAGTAACCTTAGCCCTTAGTGATAGCAAAGTAGAGTGAGAAGGAATCCATTTACTACCATCTGACATATCTTTTTGACTTAGTAGCTTTTTGAAAGGGTATAAGTGGATATGAATGTCAGTGCTAGGTTCACAGTCCTTCCTTGGTCATAAGGAGCTCTTCATTTTGATGAGCTCCCTAGGAAAATCTCAACAACTTAGAGTCAAACTCACAACACACTTGGAATGTAGAAACTGACTTTTCTCAGTGATTTTTCTGAGTTCTTGTGACCACAACTGTTTAATTAGTGAATACACATATAAGGAGACCAAGCTGGCTACTGGCTGTTAGCACAGCTGGTGCTAAGAAGAGAGATTAACTTGTATGCAAAACTACCTTATGTGTATCCTTGCAATGATTATAGTTGACTTCCTACATGGGGTGATTTAGGGGCATCAAAAAACCAAACTCCACATCTGCTCCTCTCTGCTCCACTTTACCCAGTGATCTCTTGCCCAGACTTGCCATTTTGCCTGAAATACACCATTATAGATTCAATCCTTTAGGGCACTTTGTCTCCAACAATCTCCTATTAAAATAAAAATGCTACAAGGAGGATTTTCACATTAACCTATTAACTATAATCAATCAGGTAAGCTAGTTTTCACCATAAAAGGTGAATTGGATGAAATAAAAAGATATATATTTTTTTTACTTAGTAGAAGGAAAGTAAATTAATGCAGAGGCAGATAGCCTTACGTGGTGCAATATAGTAGGATTACCTGAGAAGCCAGATTGTATCAGAAGTTTTAGCAGAGATTTCTACAATAGGGGGGAGAGATCAGGAAAGACAAGAGGTAGGCAATAAACATAGCAGCTACCACCTAAACAAGTTTGATTCAAGCTAGTCTTTTCTCATCAGATTGCCAGTTCCTTCAGGAAGGGGATGCTTTCAAAGAGACTAGATACTAGAGTTCAAACACCAGGGTCAGTTGGGGAATCTCTCTCTCTCTTTCTCTTTCCCTCTCTTTCTCTCTTGTCCTCTTTCTCCCTTCTGTAAAGTGGGTATAATAAATAATGCCTGTCCCTGGGCTATACTATTAAGATTACATAAGGTATCCCAAGTCAAAGTCAGGAAGACTATGCTTGACACACAATAGATAGCCAATGCATGCTGCTTTTTCTTTTCTTCTTGCCTTTAAGACATAGTAATTAGGATGCTAGGCACAAAGAAATTCCTCAATATAGGCTTTAAAATGACCTGATGAAGAAAATTAATAGTGTAGATAAAGTAGACTAAAGTTCTTTCTAAACTGCTTTGTCATTAAAAGAAGGTAACAATGTGAAAGAAATAGACATGAGAAGACAATGAGTAAGCTGAATACATTCTCAGATGCCCCAGAATCCACAGAAGTCTGTCATGGTGGCTACGAACCAAAGCCCAGATAGGAAGTTACAAAGTTATGATCTCTACTGGTACTTTGTTAGAATGTAAAACAAGAGCTATCCAAGTTCAACTCTACCACCGAAGTGGGGCAGATATCTGAGGACAAATTATAAGGACAGAATTCAGTGACTGAGCAGAGTTCCAGATTAATCATAAACCCTACCAAGCAAATCCAGCTGGCTAGAAGTAGATTCTAAGATGGTAAATAGTCTCAAGAACTATTTTTTTAAGTCATTTAACTTATTGTATTTCATGAACAGGAGTTAGGCAAGGTATCAACAAGTGGATTTTGACTTTGGAGTTACTTCATTGATTACTTCTAAAAGAGCCATATACTACAGAAGTATGCTACTTTACTTGCTGGTTTTTTCAACTCCCAGAACAGGTTACTTAAGCTGAGAGAAAGCAGGATGTAGGGGAATGAACACTGGCCAGGCACTGGATTCCTGACTTCTAGTTTTGGCTGTATCAGTAATTAGTAGTATAATCTTAAGAAAGTTCCTTCCATCTCTGGGACTCATCTTTTTTTGTGTGTAAAATGAGAGACTGAATTATTCCTAAGGTTCTGATATTACAAGTCTAGTAGAAAATTGGATTTGGCAGATAGGCTCAATTCTAAATAAAAATTGGAAAAATATGAAGAAATTTTGTGTTCTTTATTTCCAGTACTTTATCATCTCAAGTATGATTAAGAGGCCTCATATCACAAGCCTACCTGCCTGGAATCCATATCCAGTCCAAGAAATATACAATCTTAGGCAGACTTTCCTGATTTGCACAAACTTATTCCCATCGAGGGGCTTCCCTGGTGGCTCAATGATAAAGAATGCACCTGTCAATGCAAGATATGTGGGTTCAATTCCTGGATTGGGAAGATCCCCTGGAGAAGGAAATGACAACCCACTCCAGTATTCTTGCTTGGGAAACCCCACTGGCAGAGGAGGCTGGTGGGCTAGAGTCTATGGGGTCACAAAGAATCGGACACGATTTAGCAACTAAACAACAACAAATTCCTGTTATGGAGTCCTCCTCATCAAAACATTTTAGGGTCACTGTCTCTGCTTTTAAGCTGAGAAAATAAGATTTAAGCTAATGCATTAATGACAGAGAACTAGAAGACATTATCCAAGACCTTCACATAAAGCTTGAAGACATTTTCCTGGCAGTTTATTATTAAATAATTCATGGAAATTATGGCAGACCTAAGCAAAAAGAGCATGGCACCATAGGTGGAGAGTAAGGGAGAGGTTTTAATTAGACTGGTTTTTGTTTAGTAGCTATGTCTTGTCCAACTCTTTGTGCACCCATGGACAGTAGCCCACTAGGCTCCTCTCCTACACTGGCAGGCAGATTCTTAACCACTGAGCCAACAGGGAAGCCTGCTAATCAGGTTAGAGCCCTTATTTCCTACACTAACACCTGTTCAGTAGCCTACACATGGAGTAACTAATTCAACAATTTCAGACAGCAAATACTTATTGAGCACTTGGGACGACAGGCTGTTTACATCGATACACCCAAAGATGGCATAATGATTCAATGAGCTTTAATATAATTTTTAAATTGATGGCAGGCTGAGCATTTAAAATAAAGATTAGACTACTAATCTTTATTAAATCTCTATTAATAACCTAATAATCCCTATTGATGATTTAGCTATTACAAACAAGGTAACTGAGGGCTAGGGAAAGTAGAGGATTCTTCCTGAGTTACATAGCAAGTTAATAACTAAGCCAAGACTAGAGCTTAAGTTTTAATTAAAAATCCTTGTTTTTTTTTAATGTACATCACATTTTCTCCCAACTATGTATTCTCTAATATGTGTTTATCCACACATATTTCTCTTCTCTTCATACAGTCCAGTCATTTGAATGAAAACTTTGTTTATATTATTAAGATTGCCAATTTACTAACTAATGGTGAGTGTAAAAATCAGCAGAAATAAATATCTCTCATTTTTCTTTCTGCAATGGCATGGAAACCAGCGATCTTTACTATGTGCAAAAACTCAACATCTAGCCTTTCCTCTTTCTCATCTCTCTCCCTACACCACCCCTCACACATACAGAAACACAGACACTCAGACATCCATTGCTGCTAACATACAAGACTGGAAGAAATAAACCAAAATGAGACAATTGTTCTTTTTTTCCTCTTTATCTCCTTTCTTGATGCTATAATTTGCTAAATTCTCAGTCTAAGAGAAAGGAATTAAGTGATGAGATGAGCAATACCATAAAGTAAATCGAGTCATCATGCTAGATGTCACTGAAGATAAAAAGAAAGGAGACATGGTCTCTTTCCTCAAAAACTTGCAGACTGGTAGCAATGACATGATAAAAAAAAAAAAAAAAAAAAAAAAAAAAAAAAAAAAAAAAAANAAAAAAAAAAAAAAAAAAAAAAAGAGAAATGAGTAAAATAAAACACTAAATTGAGCAATGCAAATGTCAAGCTATGTAAAATCTTCCATATATTTAGGGTACAAACCCACAATAGTTTTTAGTATGGTTAGGCCATTCCATAAGGTATTCCTCTACATCCGTGTCTCTATTTCTGATATCACAAGTAAGTAAGTGTTAGTTGCTCAGTTGTGCCCAACTCTGTGACCCCGTGAACTGCAGCCCTCCAGGCTCCTCTGTCCATGGGATTTTTCAGGCAAGGATACTGGAATGGGTTGCCCTTTCCTTATCCAGGGGATCTTCTCAACCCAGGGATCAAACCTTGGTCTTCTGCACTGCAGGCAGATTCTTTACCAACTGAGCTACAAGGGAAATCCAAGGCATTTCTAAAAGCAGTGATTTTACTAAGCCATAAAACTCATACAGTAAGTCCCCTACATATGAATCTTCAAGTTGTGAACTTTCAAAGATGCAAACATGTGTTCCAAAAACATCAGGCATGAGTGAAATTGCGGTCTGCCCTCCATCTTCTATTGCTGAAGATTCTTCAGCTCTGTCATCTTCCACCTTCTCTCCCTCCTCCAGTCAGTAACTCTTCTTACCTGTTCTCTTGATAGCAGCCCCTGTATGACAATTACTGTACTGTCCTACTGTACTTTCCAAGGTACAGTATTGTAAGATTGAAAATGTCTTCTCTATCTTTTGTGTTTGTTTTTTATGTAATTTGTGGGAAAAATATTATAAACCTATTACATTAAAGTAATATATAGCTAGCTGATTCTGTTAGTTGGATACCTAGGTTAACTTGTTGGATGTATGAACAAATTGAACTTACGAATGTGCTCTCAGAAAATAACTCGTTTGTATATAGAGACTTACTACACTTCTCTTTCTCATTTATTCTGCTCTAATGTGTATAGCTATTATCCTTATTATAAGCATTTCAAACTGCAAACTTGACCAAATGTAATGCTTTCATGTGCTGAAGGTAATCTGTCAGGTGAAAGACAGGTGCAACCTAATTTTCCCAGTGTGATTTCAATTCA